TCTAGGAGATCATTGAGCTAAAAGACGTACCATTGAAGCCTTGGAAATTGAAGATACGACAGATTTCCTCCAGAGGAACAGAAGTGAGCACTAAAACACTGAAGGACTAGATAGCTGGTATGATGGAGGTCACCGGTTTTGTTTTTTTGCCACAGGTTAGTGACTATACACTGATTTACATTGTTACCTGGGTAGTTGTTAAGGCAAGCCATGTCTAAAAAGTCCCTTGTGTGGTCCTTGAGGGTGCGATCTCCCTGATCTAGACAGTGCAAACAGTCAGAAAATAGTCTTTTGATTAGTAAATCCAATAGGAACAGGAAAACTCAGGATTAGGGAAACACAACCACGCAAAACACAAACAAGATTGGACAAAACACTTGGGGAGAACTAAGGGCTTAAATACAAGATGGAGATCATTAACAGAACTAATGACTGGTGAGTACTAATTAGAAACCATGGAAACTAGTGAGGAACATAGACGGACAACAGGGAAAACGAAACCAGCATGCAATGAAACTAAACAGAGATTGTTACACCTAGAACAACTTTACCCTACCAACACCCTAGCAACAATAGAAAACACCCTAGCAACAATATAGAACACCTTAACAACCATATAAAAAAACAACACCCTAGCATCATCCAGGATTTTGCACAAGCAATCACATGTACTTCTGTAAAAATATAATTATGTATGTGTCACCCTGAATTGACCTGGAAGTTACACCGTAGAGCCCTCCTGATCACAGGCGCAGGTCAGGGGCTCCATGTAGCGCTGTGGCCCTAGGATGTCCGTACATACCAATTAGCAGCCTGTGATTGTACTTGCTGAAAGCACATTTAGACCGTAGCTGCAGTCCAGACCTCAGAGAGGAATGTGTCCACTGCAGCACCGCAAAGTCAGACACAGCTCCAACCAAAATAAACACCTCCCTGGACATAAAACCCTTTAAAATCCTAAATATGATCCCAAAAACAAGCAGCCAGGTACCTCGTTTGGAAAAAAAAAAAAAATTCCAGGGAACCACCAAATTCATCATTTATGGTGTTCAGATCAAATTTAAACAGTTGTTATGTTCCATAAGACGCAGTTTTTTCTAAATGTGCGGTGCAAGAAATTACAGGGTACTGTCTGACTCATTAGTGTTGCCAGATATTGCTATAAAAAAACAGCAAATAAGAACAAGCCAATAATAAACTTAAATCCAAACACATTATCTTGGAAATTAGCCACATAGCAAAATATAGCGACCTGTGCCTGCCTGCTTCATTAACTCCATAAACTGGATAGCTTTATGAGCCGAGCCCAAAGACACTTCATAAGCGTGGCTTGTAATAAGTGGTCATGGCAACCCTTCAAGAGTTCACTCTGCAAAGTAGCCTTCGAAACATAAACAAAACATGACGGCTCTGTTGATGGTGGTTTAGTTCAAATCAAAATCCCTTTAAGGCAAGTCACGTCACTCGGCGGCCATCTTTGAAACGCCTCTCGGGCATGCAAGTGCAGCTTCTATCTCTTTGAATGGGGAAACATAGACGCAGTTTTGAAACATTGTTCCCCCTAGAGCTTATAAAGTCACGCATAATGAGTCGTTTAATTCATGAAATTTAATTCATGATCACAAGCTCAATCAGCACTGCTTCACAATCCTCCATTACACCTGCACCACTCAGAACACCTTAGCAACCACCCAGTACACACACAATTCAGTAATTTACAGGAGTGACAACCGCATTCTGCAACAAAATTAACTCCCGAAAACTTCAGGTAGTGACAACCACATTTACAGAAATTCTATGCAGTGTGTACTAAACCGAACCGAACAACCAGTTGTTACACTCTAAAAAATGCTGGGTTAAATACAACCCAGTGCTGGGTAAAATAGGGACAAACCCAGCAATCATGACGGCTCTGTTGATGGTGGTTTAGTTCAAATCAAAATCCCTTTAAGGCAAGTCACGTCACTCGGCGGCCATCTTTGAAACGCCTCTCGGGCATGCAAGTGCAGCTTCTATCTCTTTGAATGGGGAAACATCAAATTCTGCAAAACTGTCCAAATCAAATTCTCCAAAACAATTGTCTCATGTTGTTTCTTTTGCTCGAACAGCGTTAAAAAAGCTTATTTTTTAGGCTAGACCAGCCAGTGCGCATGCGCAGTCCTAAGCGTGCGTCTCAGAACCTTGACTGTTTCTATAGCAACCGGGACTTCTAACGGCAGCTGCAGTGACGCGATGACTTACCGGTTAGCGATTGGCTCTTTCGTTCAGAAGGCGGGGCTTCCTTTGATAGAGCGGCCATATTGAGCGTTGCATTTTTCCCCATTCAAAACTATATGAGTGACACGTCTTGGGTATTCTATAGTCTTTGGTTAAAATCTATGAACATAACGAGTTTTGGTCGCTGTTTACCAAACGCCTGAGACGCCAAAATGTTGCTATGGTTACAACAGTGTCAGTCATTGCATTTTTGAGAGAGAGTTCTGTTCTGCACACACAAAATGATAATTTAGGGGATTCACATCCATATTTAAATGCAGCTGTCACTCCTGAAACTTTACACTGTTTACCACAAACAACACCCTAGCAATGCCTTAGCAACCATAAAGATCACCCTAGAACCTGCATATCAATAAAATCCAAAAAATGATCCCAAACACAGGCAGCCAAGTACCTCAAATCATCTGAAAACAGTTTTTTCCCCAAGGAACTACAAAATTTTAAATTTGTGGCATTCAAATCAAATTTAAACAGTTATGGTCCACAAGACACGGTTTTGAATCATTGTTCTCCCTAGAGCTTATAAAGTCACACATAATGAGTCGTTTAATTCATGAAATATCACAAGCGCAGTCAGCACTGCTTCACCTGCACCTCTTGTCCTCTGGCGCTCCGCAAGCCGATCATTCATCACCTGAACATGAGCACAGCTCTGCACCGTGATTTATTAGTTGTTCCATGCATCCATTCAAGAAGAAGTGGACAACTGTACGCACAAATGTGAAATGTGATTGGCCTGCTCTCGTCTCTTGTCTGGGAATGCAGAAACTCCCTCTCAATGTGGAATGCATTCATCTGATAGGAAGACAAGTGAGTACAAATGATGCCCTGTGTGAAGTTCCTCTTGTCACAGATACTGTATGCATGAATATTTCTGTTTCTTTTTTGACTAGGAAACTTTCCTCACAACTTCTCACCAAGATTTCCCAATAGCCAGCTTTTGACATGCTGTTATATAATTTGTTGAAAGAATTCCTGGAAGCTTTGGAGCTGCTCTGCATGAATAATCCAAGACAGATAACGAAGAGTACAAGTAAACAAAGCGCAAAGCTTTGGAGGACGAACAAAACAACCTTATAAATCAAGCATCAGTGACACTTCAAATCAGGCAGAAAAATGAAGTGCAATGTGAGTGTTCCCGAACCGAATCCAACAGCTTGAAATAAACTCCACACATCTGAACATCAGTACAGAGTTGGCTGATGAAATTCCTCAAGCATTACCCAGAAGCCACCTCTCCCTGAAAGTACCGCCACACTCTAAATGATGGCATTCGGTCAACATTGAGGTCATCTGGTAGCAGCGATGGATTGGGTGTTACCCAAATACTTACTGTTCAGTGTTTTCAAACGTCAACAACAGCTGCAAACAACATGTGATTTCATTCAAAAAGACATGTTTGTTTTTGAGCATGAAGTGGATTGCATTTCAAAATAGCAATGGATTTTGGACTCATCCACCCGTGCAGTGTTGGGAAAGACCTGTTTTGTTTTTTTGTACACTCAAAGAAATATTCAGGCCTAGATTTAAAAGGATAGTTCACCCAAAAATGAAGATTCTGTTATCAATTACTCACCCTCAAGTTGTTCCAAACCTGTGTGAGTTTCTTTCTTCTGCCGAACACAAAAGACCATATTCTGAAGAATGTGGGTAACCAAAGAGTTGCTGGTATAGCCACTGGCTTCAGTGGTATTTTTCCCCATACTGTGTAAGTCAGTGGAGACCATTAACTGTTCATTCTTCGAAATATCTTCTTTTGTGTTTGGCACAGCTTGAGGGTGAGTAAATGATGACAGAATTTTCAGTTTTGCGTAAACTATCCCTTTAAGACTATGTCAAATGTCCAATTTCCATCTATTTGGATTACACAGTTTTAACATACACTAATAAACCTATTTTGTCAGTCATATATAAATGAAACATAAGAAACAGGTCAATTTCCTGTAATAGTACTAATTAACTAAATGTGTTTTAGATACACAATTCTCACCAAAAAATCTAATTTGTTTCAATTTCATACATTTTAATTAGTTAAATGTTGCCAGTATAACCATATTTTAACCATGTTCATACTTTTTAACTGAATAAATGTAATGATTTTCACAATGAACAGATTTATGCTGATACTAAACCGTTTGAATAAATGCATTTTGAAAATGAACTAAAATAGATGCACATTTTTTGAGTGCTGAAATCTTGTTTCATTTATGTATGACTGACAAATATGCATTACACTTTAATACAAGTTTATTAGTTTGCCAAAACTCTATAATCCAAATTATATATATGCAATTCAAATACATACATCTTATTTATTTTATTTTTTTCAAAAGCCTCAGAAAACAGCCAAGCGCATGTATTTTTAAAAATCAATTCTTAGGCTTCATTCTGTATCCCTTTGTTTGTTTTTTGGAGGTTTTTGCCTTTTTTCCTTCTCATCCCAAAGACAAAATAGTTGTCTGGGAAACTCCACCAGTGCTTCCCATCCACCTCACACAGCAGTGTGTTGTGCTGTTTCAATGAAACGTGCACATTTCACCAGCGAACGTTTGAGGCTGAGAAAAACCCAGGCCTTTTTATTTCCCGACTGAAAACACTCAGTTTGTGTGCGCTGGCACTCAGACCTGCTTTCCGACTCATTCCCTGCCTCTCCCTCTCTGTCTCTCTCCAGCATGTGTGTGTGTGTTTATCTGCGTGTGTGTTTTTTGATTGGAGGCTGTGTCTACATGGGAAGTGGGAAGGTGCAGCTGGAATGTTGCCCGAAGGCAAGGAAAGTGCACTGCTTCCACGCTCCAGTCCGAAGCAGCACAACGCAGAGAGAGAGAGCAAAGCAACTTGACTCACAAGGGCACTGCGCTGTCTGGGTCAGATGTGCGAGCTACTGTGAGGAGCAGCATGCAGCTGTGTTGAATGGAATAAGCGGGGAACCTAACGTTGGTCTGACTAGAAGTTGCAGGATTCGTCGATGAAGAAGCGGAGATCATTTTTCCAAACTTAGCCAGCTTGGAGGACATCTCAACCCAACTGGTCACTCCAGTCTGGCGACATGAGGAGGGACCGGCTGCTGGTGGCCGTCACTTTGGTCACACTCTTGGCGGCCGACATCCATTTCGTCCTGCTTCCCAGACTTAAAACCTGGTATCACCTGCCCAGAGAAAGCTGTGCATGCAGGGTCACCAATGGCAGCCTGGAGAACGGAGGTGCTACGACCATCCCGTGGACGACCAGCCAGAATTTCACGGTGGTTTCCACCGAGCGAGGTTCCAAGCTGGAGCGGCTGTTCAGACATCCGCTCTACAACATCCGTCTTCCAGAACTGGTGCCCGACGAACGGCTACTACAGGAAGAGGAGCTCATGAATTACTGCAAGAGGAAAGTGAGCCGCTGGGAGAGGTACTCAACTGTTTGGCTTCATCTTAAATAATGTGATGTCTTTATTAGCAGGAACGCACTCAGAGCAGAATGAATCACAGGGGAAACTGGGGCTAGTTGTCACTTTAAGTTGTTAAATCAGCTTCTGTATAGACACATACTTTAAAGTGTTGACTAGGAATAAGTGTTGAACATTTCCACCAGTACTTAACACACATTGACGATAGGGGGTAAGTTGTCACAATGGCAACCTGTTGTTTACTGACGAATTTTAGAAGAAGCTTTGTTAAAAAAAAAAAAAAAAAAGCTTAAATAAGCTTATTGTAGGTTATTTGAGTTTATTGTTATTAACAACCTCATTTGAGATCTGAGAAAAGACATCAGTCAGGACATTACTGACAGAGCCAGCAGATTAAAGAAGATCAAGTGACTCACAGTGTTTGTTTGCTTGCGTTTGGCCCAGCGGTGCACAGATCCGTGTGTGGTAATGCTCTGGATCGGGACACGTGGAATTGGCGTCTCATATCCTGGTGGCAGGTCACAGCGTGTGGTCACTGATGTCAGGGTCAAAGTACGACACCAAAGAACTACATTATAGTGGAAATCTGGGAATCTCACACAGTTTGATACTTTTTGCCATACTTCAGGATTATGTTAAAAGCACCTTAATGTGTTATTTATAAAAAAAAAATAATAATAAAATTTAAGTACCTTAAATGTGTTATTTATTTTAGTAGTATTATATTATGTTGTTTAAAAATGTATATATATATATATTTATGTATCTATGTATCTATATAGTCATATATAATCATTTTAATCATATTAATATAATAGAATTATATTATGCCTTGGTGTTTAAAAAAAAAAATTATATATCACATATATCATAATACAAAAAAATATAATATGATATTTATTTATTTATTTAAATAACTAAATATTAATTATTATGTGAATAAATAAAACAGTATTATTATTAAAACAACAAAAATAATGCAAAATTATAATATTTCTTTAAATAAATCTAAATTATATTAATTAATCTAATAGTATTATGTTATGCCTTTGTGTGTGTTTAAATAAAGCAAATTTATAATATATAATATATTAATAAATAACAATGAAAAATGATTGTTTTTCATTGAATATTTTTTGTATCTCGAGCTTGGCCACTATATTTTCTTCGTAAGGCCTTGCTGCAGAATCTTTGGCTTAAAAGAGCTTTTTATAGCAATGCTCATTCTTGCCGCCCCACGGAAATGGGATTTTCAGTTTAGTTTAGTAAGGAGTTGTTTTTTATGTTATATGTTGTGTTTTATAGGCAGTGGTGTAGACAAATCACTCTTTTAATTGTACTGGCCATGATGCCGTTCAGTTAAAGTGCAGCCAGGCCAATGGGCAACACGAGTGTCTCCCACATAATCAGAGGTTTGCCATAAACCACCCACGTTAATCAGGTCACACTAATCAAGACTTGGTTGTTTCAGAAGTTGTGGGTCCGTCAGTGCTCAGCATCTCTGATTGCTGATCATTTGGGGGTGAAAAACACCTAAAAAGTTTCCCTGCGCTGTATTTGTAAGCATAAACACACTGATGAGGCGTAATGTGAGTCTGGCTGTATGTACTGAGTCGGCGCAGTATGTGGAAGCACTGGTGACGTGTGGTAACTATGGAAGCAGAGAGAAGAGGATTCACATATATTTTCATGTGTGGGCTCCTGCTGGCTCTCTGCCACAGTAAACATTTCAAGAGTTTATATTTGCCTTTCAACTAATTTCTCTTTTCTCCATGATGTTGTTTCAAGCTGATGCTTGTAGAGGTCATGGTGACAATTTCTGAGGATCAACGGCAAATGTTTGCTCCAAAAAGGATCGATGATCTGTTACGTGGTGATTCTGTTTCTGCCAGGGACTCGATTCCATGATGCATAAAATGCACTGTATACACCAAATACAAAATAGATGTAAAAAATCAGCCAGATCCATACAAAATTAAATGTTAAAGGTTACACAAATAATAGTGGTTAAAAAATACTATATTATAGATTTATATTTTCCTAGTATCTAATGAGTAATTACAGCATTTTCTTGCATATTATAACCTCATTACCTGAATTTCATTGGAATTCCAAAAACTGAAATATCAATATTTTATTATAGTCCCGCCTTTTTTCTCATGTAATATCTTTTTATCTTATTTACTCTGAAAATATATCACATTACGGCAGTCAGTTGGGAATGTGTGAATGCCATTACTTGCTATGCCATTTAATTGATATAATAGTATTGTATTCCTTATAATTAAAATAAAGCAAAATTAAAATATTTATTTAAATATTAGTTATCATTATAATATGGATCTAGTGTCATTTTGTTTAAAAAAATAAAGTAAAATTGTAACATTTATTTAAATAAATATTGATTATTATTAATATAATACTATTATGTTATGCATATTATATTATATTCAATTACATTACATATACAGTATGTAGCCCCACCCTCATTTTTTCTCATTTATTATCTTTGATTAACTATCACAGTTACAGCAGTAAATTGGGAATGTGTGAATTATATTTCATGCAATGCTATTTGAATAATATAATAGTATTATATTATGCCTTTGTTTTAAAATTAAATACAAATAAAGCAAAATTATAATATTGATTATTTATAATTCTCTCTCTCTATATACTGTATATCTCTCTCTATATGTGTGTGTGTGTGTGTGCAGTTTATGGCTCGGTTCTAAAGTAATAGTAGAAAATAAAGTCTCTTTCTATGGGAGCCAAAAAACGCTGTTGGCAGAATGCTGAGGTTTTGGAATAGGATAACTTACATCTTAAAGGTTTCTACATGTCACAGGCGCATGCCAAGGGAAGTCATTATTTGAACACCTAATAATACCTATCTAGGTTAATGACTTAAAAGAGAGCTCACCAAATGTGTAATTTCTACTCGTTTCAATCCAAGTTTTTGTGCAGGAAAGTACCTCTCATTCATGTTTAAAGAGAAAAGATTTACATTTCTGAATCTGAATATTATATAATGACAGATAACATTTGTGTAAAAGCCCAAACGATCTTTAATGCCAGCTCTTGTTCTCCTGCACAGAATGAAAAAGTTCTACATCGAGGCGGCAGCAGCTTCAAACATCACTATACTCGATCATCCCGTGACCTTTGACCCGGAGGCCAGCTGGCTGCAGTTCCATCTAGGGATCAATCGATATGCGCTGTATTCACGAGACGACAGCAGCGTCGACAGACTCCTGCGGGACATGCAGACGGCCACCGTCATCAGCGCAGGTGATGCTATTAGATGTCAGAAGACTCGTTTCCACCGAGCGGTACGGTTCAGTACGGTACACAATTAATTCCGTTTCCATTGTCAGAAGTTGTGAATGGTGCAAAAATAGTGAACCGTACCATACCACTTTTTTGGGACCCTTCCGTTGGGGTACCTAGCACAGTAGTCCGGTACCTAAAGGGTGGAGCTAAACTCACTGCAGAACGTTGATTGGTTGACAGAAAATCTTCACTTGCATGTGCTACAAAGGGAATGACAACACAAGGGGAATGAAGCGTCTCCTTCACTCGTTCCACCGTGCTGCTCATGCGTGTTGGGTTTGTTTACATCAGTGTGCGCAAACACAAAAAACATAACAGTGTATTTTAGAATTTTATATTTTCACACACATACACACAGACAATGTTGCACTTTCTTCTTTGCGCGAGAATGACGTAGATCGCTACTTTCCGGCATACACCACGCCTATCAAGAAGGGTACTGTTGGCGGTGGAAACGCAAGCCGAATCAGGGTGTACCGTACCGTACCGTACCGCTTGGTGGAAACGAGGCTAGAGAGAAATAAATCCCAAATCTGATAAATGCTAATGCAGTATTTCTCATCTGGAGAAGCTGATGTGCAGTGTTTCATTGTGTCTGACAGATTTCACTCAGGATGAGAAAGCGTTGAAGGGTGCATGTGACTGCTCACAAGGTAAATGTATATTTTTAACACTATTGTTCTACCAAATTTTAACATTTTAGCTGAAAACAGTAACAAAACTTTCCAATGTGCATAAATGATAAGATACACTATTTTTTTTTACAAAATAAAAAATAAATATGATAGCCACTTCTGAGTAAGAACTTCTGGAAATGTAAATTATGACGAGATACCTTTTGCTTACGAAAAACATGCACTACTGTTCAAAAGTTTGGAGTCTGTAAGATTTATTTATTTTTTTTACAAATTAATACTGTGATTCAGCAAGGATGCATTAAAATTATTAAAAGTAACAGTACAGACATTTAAAATGACAAAAAAGATCTATTTCAAATAAATGCTGTTCTTTTGAACTTTCTATTCATCAAAGAATCCTGAAAAATAAAATGTATTCCAGTTTCCCCAAAAATATGAGGCAGTTTGAACATTGATAATAATCAGAAATGTTTCTTGAGCAGCAAATCAGCATATTAGAATGATTTCTGAAGATCATGTGACACTGAAGACTGAAAATTCAGCTTTGATCACAGAAATAAATTACATTTTAAAATGCATTCAAATAGAAAACAGTTATTTTAAATTGTAATAATATTCCACAATATTATTGTTTTTACTGAATTTTTGGTCAAATAAATGCAGCCTTGGTGAGCAGAAGAGACTTCTTTCAAAAACATAAAAAAATCTTACAGACCCCAAAGTTTTGAACAGTTGTGTAACTTTAACAACATTAAATATAATGGACAACAATATAGTATACAATATAAAAATGTATTAGCATAGTCTTGTTAAAAAATATAACCTATGTGAAATTCAATTAATTGCTTCTCAAAAACAGTATTTTACAATAAAATGTAATGTAAAACTGCATGTGCTGTCTTTTAATTTTTTCCCCCCTTTACGTTAAAGTTACGTAGAGTTGATCTAGTTTGAGTTCTGTAGCTTTGACGCTATTGAGTAAAACCAATATATATTGTAAGTAATGCTGAGCGGTTTGACCAAAAATCTGTATCATGTTTTTACCTGACTGCACGTTTATATGAATCAGAATGCATGAAACTGTTGCAGAACCACTGCATTTTAATCACGATCCAAACGAACATGCTACATATAGTATGAGCAGTTCTTGATGTAAATTAGATTGTATAATTTCAAAATTTAAAGCAAAAACAGAATGGTCTGACCTTAGCTTTGTGAAATAATGCTACATAAAACCAGGGCCGTCGTTAGTGGGGAAAAAGGTGGTGATGATTATAGGGGCCCACGGCTGTGGGGGGGAGGGGCCCCCGGCGATTTCAACCGACTGCCCGAGGCTAGCATGAAAGACGCTCAGGACAGTTAATAAGCCACTGCTGCGCGTCGTCGTGAAAGCTTATCATTTGCATGTGTTTTTAAGCCTTGTCATTTTAAACATTCAAGAGATTTTAAAGCATTCAAGCATAAGAAGAAGTGCAAGTACTCATGCATTGTTCGGTGCACACACAGAGAGCCGCGTCTCGCAGCCAATGATCATCGAATTGAGTTTTGTGTCTTCTTGCGCTTGAACAGACAAATACATGATACATGTCAAAATACCCGTCTTAGCGAGTATCCTCGAAAAACTGTTGGCTATGTCTTAAGTGAACGCAAACAGTTGTGTCAACAATCTGATGTGTATCGTTATATTAGAGCCATGCATTGTGTCTTAAAGTGACCGCGCCTAATTTACTTGCTGCTGTTGGCATCCATAACCTCTCAATTCAAGACGCTTTCTACATTGCTTAGCCACTTGTATACCATTTTTTTCAAAATTCATACCGTGTGCGTGATTCAAACCGGTTTACTGTTTGAACCGGTATATCGCCCAGCACTAATTGCAAGTCGGTGGTGTAGAGTAGAAAGCCACTAACAAAGGCCTAGTTTCAATGGCCGTGTTTTATAATGAATGGCCACTGGTTTAAGGTAGATGAGGCCATTTTATAAGCCTTTCAGAAACAAACAGCTGCCACTCACGAAAGTCTAGAGTAAACGTCTCTTAATGTCCACCAGCACCGTCCCATAACAGACAGTGATGCTAAAACCACACAACCGCATCTGGCCGCGAGCGCTTACACATGAACCAAATGCTATTGTTCGTTTCCCCATTTTAGCTCTTTTTGGCCTTATTGAATGTCTAATACAGTATAACTACAACGTTTTTATTGTTTGCCTTGAACTTTTGTGTTGTTTTTCTGTTTCGCTTATTACTCGTGTGTTATTTTGGAGCATGGTTGAGTTTGTGAACTATTGATATGATTGTGCTGGAAAGGAGCTAAATGAAGTTGGAGCGGTGCGGTTTAGGATTGCCGGCAGCCTGCCACGGCTTGCCAAACCCTCAGACAAAGCTAAAGGAACAGCACTGGTGGAGCGTTGTGTTCACCGCAAGCCCTGTTATGTAAAGATCCCTCTATAATTAAACTATTACAGCCGAAAGGTCGACTCTGGGGAGCAAAAAATAAGATCTCACAGTCCAAAAAGAGTCAAGTGTTAGAACAATCTCCTGACATTTTTAATCCTATTTTCCACCACAACACATTAAAAAAAGGAATGCGTTTCTTGGAAGTCATTATTCTGGATCATTTTGCATATAAATTAGAAACATATTGCATATATATAAAACTTACACACTTTTTTATTACTTTACTTCAAATATATAACTGAATATGTTTTAGAGAAAAATTATTATATCCATGAATAGTCATAATATTAATGATAATGTTAATATATAATCATTATTAATGATTTTCTAAATGATATCCAGTATAATAACTTGTATATTATTATATATACAACATTTAGAAACATTGTTTTATTATTTTACTTTAGTTATATATAACTGAATATGTTTTATTACAGAAAAATAAGTATTCTCTGTTAAAGTGCCCCTATTGTGCCATTTCGAATGTTGCCTTTCATGCGGTGTGTAATGTAGCTGTATGTGAATGCAAACAATCTGCAAAGTTAAAAACCCAAAAGTGCATGATAAATAAAGTTTTTCTCTCCCAAAAGAAAGAATTGTCGTTAGTAATTCGAATCCCTCCACGACACGAGGTTACACATTTGAATAATCACAATATTTCTTCCATGTTTTAATTGTAAATCCCCTTTTTTTGCCAAAAAATAAAATTAGTTTAATTTTCATTAATTAAAAGATAAATTAAATTAATGTGTTATGCCTTCATTCGATAACCAGAAAAATTTAAATACACAACGCAGAATTTCTAAATAAAAAAATACATTTCATGAGTCTATAAATAAAAGTAGTTTTTATGCATTCAAATAATTAGACATATTAAAACACAGAATTTGGTAACAATAAACAAGGTGAAAAAAATAGAACATTTCATAAGACCCTAAACATAATTTTTGTTAAACTTTTTAATAGATTTGATTTTGAATTGTATACGTTTCATTATTTAATTAGACGTGCTTTTGATTAATAAAATTTAATTTAACAATTTAAAAAGGAGTCCAGAAAAATTAAAATGAAAAAAAAAACAGAATCCAAAAAAATTTAAATTTGGAATAAAAAAAAAACGTATTTCATACGTAACATAACGTATTTCATAGGGCCCTAGCATAGTTATTTATTTATTGTGGTGATTTGAAGGTTGTGTCAAAAAGTTGTTGTTCTAATCTAGTAGATAAATAGCTGTATTCTGTACGTTTTTACTCGTGTATGATAATTTTCTTCCAAATACGATAATTTTGAGCTTCTGGTACGATACTTGGACATTTCCAATCTGGCAACACTGCCCGAGATTCACAAAACACTTGCTCTTGAAAGACGGCTCAGCACCCAGTTTATTTGGACCAGCTGGCTCCACTGAATCACATCCTGTAAGTATGATAAATAATGTTCAATTTTTCCATCGAGCGTTCAAAATACAGAACTATGGCAATCGGTGTATCGTTTCCGAAAGGAGGGGCTTAGAAAGACTGAATCTTTGAACTGCTTCGAACGAATCGTTTGAGAATCCTTGGAAAACGAGGTGATATTAAATGCATATTCTGAGACAACAAAAGTGTATTTTGACCTTGCATGCATGTAAACCTTTTGAAGGAGACTCCCAAAACAATATTAGGAACCTTAAAAATGACATAATAGGGCACTTTAAATGTGTTAACACAAAAACTGTTGTTAATTAATAGTCTTTTTACTAATAATTTCTTTCTTAATTCTTATTTTGACAGCACTAATATTTTCACAATACTATATATATATATATTTTTTTTTTTTAACCTGTACATTCATATTAAGAAGGAAATATAACTGTTTTCTTTTATTCTGACTGTCCAATCAGTGGTTAAACCAAGCGGTCTTCACCTGAAGTTGGCCCTAAAGCTCCAAGATTTTGGCAAAGCTATGTTTAAACCAATGAGGTATCACTTTTCTATTTAGATTTACATATTACTACACTTTGGTTTAGGTTTAGGTTGAACTGATAGAAATGGTCCTTTTTGATTTCAGACAGAAGAGACATGAAGAGACGCCGGAGAACTTCTTCTATTTTGTCGACTTTCAGAGACACAATGCTGAGATAGCAGCTTTCCACCTCGACAGGTGAGGCAGATGAACGTCGATTAGAGTCACACAGCGAATGCGACCGGATTGACAGACACACAGGAATGAATTATACAGTGAAGGATCTGATATGAGTAAACAGATGAAATCCCTCAGGCAGCACCTCAGTGGGATACTGTACATCATTGTTTAGGCCTGTTGAGACAGTGAGGTTCAGCATGATTACTCTCGCCAAAGCATATTTGGTGAGGTCTATTGTGGACGATTATATGGTGATGAAACCTTAGGGCAGACTGCAACAGACATCAAGGGAATTCACTAAAACAGAGGCTATAAAACGTCACTTATGATTTACTAGATTACAGACACAAAAACTCTTGTCAGCAATTTTCATGTTGATTTTCAAGTCCACAGCAATTTTCAAGTCCTTTTTTGAACATCTCATCCAGACTAGCACAGCAACATTACTTCATCCAATAGAGTGCAACAGTCGGGTTCTGGAAGTAAAAATCCCATTTATTTTTTCCACAGGGGAATTGATTTTTGAAGCTGTTAAAGACATACCTGTTTTGAGCTACAGGGTTGTAGATAGATTGTATATGCTTTTGTTGGAGTTGAGTTATTTCAGTTTGTTTCTTAAATAATCCTGTTGAGCATTAGAATTCTTGGTGAAAAACTACATTACCCATAATTCTTCCAATCAGAGAATCAAAACAGGCAAATCAATAGTTTTTTTTATATACAGGTGCATCTCAATAAATTAGAATGTCGTGGAAAAGTTCATTTATTTCAGTAATTCAACTCAAATTGTGAAACTCGTGTATTAAATAAATTCAGTGCACACTGTTTTAATTCATTATGTCATTCGCAATGCTTCATGGGATTGTAGTTCTTTCACAGTCAGTTATCAAAGCCAGTAAGTTCACAGTCTTGTACCTTTGTCGCTTGTTAGTTCATGGCTTATAACTCTTAAACAAAATCCCTATGGGAAAAATGAATCGGAAAAATACTAGAACCTAAAAAATGGGCGGGCTCTGTTGCATAGCATGAGTTTGGGGCGGGTCTAGTGGCACAGATGTTACGTACTTCAATAATGCTTTAATAATGTCATTGTATTGTTAGCTATCGTAAAACATGTTGATGAATCCTCATTTTTCTCACTGTAGAGGAGGTCAGTTTACAGGTCAGTTCAGTTTATTTGTGTAGCGCTTTTTACAATGCATATCATTTCCAAAGCAGCTGTACAAAGAACCCTGTCATTAGTGGTGTAAGCAAAGCCACTTGAGAAAAGGGTGTTTTCCTGCAAGTTATTCCTCATCTGAGCTTGATTAAACACTCAGCCAAACCTCTTCAGCTGAAGAAAAATGACTAGTCAAAAACACACTGAAGGAAAAGCAAACGTAGTTTGAATTGAAAATCCTCTAAGGGTCAAGTAAGATGCTACTGGATAAGCTGAAATCTGATAGAAATTCCTTTAGCAAACCTATTTAGATATTTTAGGATATCTCACTCAAAATATGATTTAAAGAGACTTCATTTGTCGAAAATCAGGTTGATAGTAAAGCTGACTTAGATGGCCATCCATGAATGTGTGAATATGTGGATTGTGTGCAGAGTGCTGGACTTCCGGAGAGTTCCACCCGTGGCGGGACGATTCATTAATGTGACGGGTGAGATTTTGTACATAACACACAATGAGGAACTGCGCAGTGTCTTCTTCAACTCTCCAGGTTTGCATTACTAGTCAAAACACATTTTTAACAAAATAAATATAACAAATGCTTCTGTTCAAAAGTTTGGGGTAAGTACGTTTTTTTTAAGAAATTATTATTTTTATTCAGAAAGGATGCATTAAATTTATCAAAAGTGTCAGTAAAGACATTTATAATGTTACAAAAGATTTCTAGTTTTTTTAACTTTACATTCATCAAAGAATCCTGAAAAGAAAAATGTATCACTGTTTCCACAAAAATATGAAGCAGCAAATCAGCATATTAGAATGATTTCTGAAGATCATGTGACACTGAAGACTGGAGTAATGATGCTGAAAATCCAGCTTTGATCACAGAAATAAATTACATTTTAAAATATATTGAAATAAAAAAATTTGCATTTCAAACTTTAATAATATATTACAATATCACAAAAATGTTACTGTATTTTTTCAAATCAAATTAATGCACTTTTGGTGAGCATACAAAACTAAAAATTCTAACCCCAAACATTTGAACAGTTCTGTCTGTTTATATGTATAATTTTGGGCCAGTTTTTATCAGAGAGTGAGTTGCTTTAAATGCTTTTCTTATTTCTTGACCAGCCAACAACACGTGTTTCTTTGCTAAGTGTTTATACGTGTGCAAGTCGGAGTATGCCGTGTGTGGTCATCCTGATCTGCTGGAGGGCTCCATGTCTGCTTATCTACCGGGCTTGAGCATCGCCCCGCGGATCTCCATCCCAAACCCCTGGATACGCGCCTACAGTTTCACCGGGAGAGAGGAGTACGCTCTGACTCTCATACGCACTAAATCACACTTCAGTTTTGAGTACAAAGAATGTTTCTTTTCTTTCTGGGACTTAATAAGAGCAGGAATGTGTTTTAAGAAAGTAAAAAGAGTCCGTTTAGATTCAGTTTAACTTGATTTATACAGAAAATAAAACAGTATTCCGGTCCGATCAACATTTGTTGTTTTATGAAGTGTAGAATGTCCTTATTTGGATTTGAGAAATCCAGCTCTTGATACAGACCATGGCTAAGAAACAAAAATGTTTGTCATGCTCACAAAAGGGTCTAAAGTTCAGTAATGTTCAGATGTGTCCAACAGCTTGAAGCAATTAACTTCTTCTCTTTCTTCTCAGGTGGGAGGTCAATCCGTTATACTGTGATAATGTCAAAAAACTTTATCCCTACAACTCTGGGAACAGACTGCTCAACATTATTGACATGGCAATATTTGACTTCCTTACAGGCATGTAAACGCTTTCCATATCGACACTTAATGTAATTAATTTTGTCAAAACTTCACGTAAAACGTACATGAAACAATTTTTCATACCTGATGATCAAAGTAGGGTGTTGATGGTTGGTTTCGCACTAAAATAAGCATCACACTGACAATAAGGAAACTTTAAATCCAGAGTTACATAAGCCAGTGTACTGACCTTAAAGGAAAAAATGTCTCTTTCATGTTTTAGGAAACATGGACAGGCACCACTATGAAATTTTCACCAAGTTTGGAGACGATGGCTTCCTGCTCCACTTAGACAATGCCAGAGGGTATGTTCTCATCTGTAAACTTTTGGGGTCGTTAACACTGAACGCATTTTTGCAATGCACTGCTTTTTCATTGTTTTTGGCCATTGCACTCGCGTCTTTTGCAGTGTCTTGTGCAATACATGGTGTTCAATAAACACAGCACTCAAGTCAAAAGTTCAGCTTTTAAAACGTGTCTCTAGACCTTTCGTTTCTGTTTCATTCCACTGCCTTGCATCTCGCATTTTTAAATGAAAAAAAACATGTTATGTGTGACTAGCCCCTTTCACTGTTTATCAGAGTGGTTATGAAAGTTACAATTTTTGATATAAGAAAAAATACAATGCTTTGGTAAATCATGACATAAATTTAGAAATTATGACAAAAAGTCAATTATGAGATAAAAAGCTGAAATTGACAAAAAAAAATTGAAATTATGAGAGAAAAGGTTGAAATCATGACAAAAAGTCGAGATAAAAGTTGAAATTGACAAAAAGTCAAAATTATAAGATAAAAGTCAGTTATAAGATAAAGTCAACATTATGATAAATGTTCAAATTATGAGATAAAGTCATAATTGAGATTAAAGTCAAAATGGACAAAAAAGTTAAAATGATAAGATATAAGGTCGAAATCATGGAAAAAAGTCAGAGATAAAAAGTTGAAATTGATGAGATACAAAGTCATAATCATGACATAAGTCAAAATTATCACGTAAGTCAAAATTGAGAAGTTAAAAGAGTGGTTATGAAAGCTCATTTCTGATATAAGAAAAAATATAATGCTTTGGTAAATCATGACATAAAATTTGAAATTATGACAAAAAGTCAATTATGAGATAAAAAGTTGAAATTGACAAAAAAAAATTTGAAATGAGAGAAAAGTCGAAACTAACAAAAAAAGTCACAATTATGAGATAAAAGGTTGAAATCATGACAAAAAGTCGAGATAAAAGTTGAAATTGACAAAAAGTCAAAATTATAAGATAAAAGTCAGTTATAAGATAAAGTCAACATTATGATAAATGTTCAAATTATGAGATAAAGTCATAATTGAGATTAAAGTCAAAATGGACAAAAAAGTTAAAATGATAAGATATAAGGTCGAAATCATGGAAAAAAGTCAGAGATAAAAAGTTGAAATTGATGAGATACAAAGTCATAATCATGACATAAGTCAAAATAATCACGTAAGTCAAAATTGAGAAGTTAAAATGTGACAAAATGTCAAAATTATGACAAAAATATGAGAAAAATATCTATATGAGATAAAAAGTCAACATTATGAAAAAAAGTCTAAATGTATTTAGTAGGTCATAATTGAGATAAAAAGTCGACATTTTGACAGTCAAAATTATGAGATAAAGTGGAAATGATCACATAAAAATCGAAATATGAGATAAGAAGTAGAATTTTAGGTCATAATTATGACTTTGTGTCATAATTTTGTCTGTTATGATTATGACATATTATTAGATAGACACATATTAGATATTAGTATCTAAAAATGTAAGTTTTTGTCATAATTTGGATTTTTTTATCTCCTATTTATGATTTACGAAAGCATGATTTATTTATTTTTATTATATGGACAAAACGGGCTTCTTCATCCTCTTGTTTACTGCAGATTTGGCCGGCATTCCGACGATGAGATGTCCATTCTTGCTCCATTGACCCAATGTTGCATGTAAGAATCTTTCTGAAATATTTATTAAATTATATGATTCTGAAGTTCATTTACGAACAGTTGTATGAGACATACAGTCTTACTCACAAAACGCATGGCCTCTCGCAGGATCAAGCGTTCCACGCTATTTAGACTGAAGCTTTTGGCGAAGTCCGAGTACCGCCTGAGCGACGTCATGAGGGAATCCCTCTCCAGAGACCCTCTCTCGCCAGTTCTGACTGAGGACCACCTGCAGGCCTTGGACCGCCGGCTCGGCCATGTGCTCAGGACAGTAGGGAAGTGTGTGAAGAAGCTGGGAGAACCACAAGTGGTGATCAGAGATTTTGTAGAGTCATCCAGAGTAACTACAAGCCACCCAGGAGGAAATAACAGGTGACGGAACGAGAAGAGCGAGGGTTTGAGGAGATATCAGCAATCCACTGAAGTGACGTTATGATAACTTCCAGACTAAGCCACTGAACTAAATCCAAAATCATGGCATCTAAGGACACCAGGAGGAAAAATTATTCATATTTCCGATTGGTGAAAAAGGGCTGTGTGATATTACTAAGTCTTAACTGTCAAAATTATGAGATACAGTCATAATTATGAATTTAACAAAATTTCACCAATTAAAATTAAGAGATAAAGGCCACAGAGATAAAAAGGTTGAAATTATGACTTATAATTATGAGACAATCAAAATTATGAGATAATTAAGTAATTATCGAGATGAAGAGCTCTGAAATTGTCAAGAAATGTAAATTATGAGATAAAAGTTGAAATGATCATGAAACATTTAAAATGAGATAAAACGTCAATTCTAAAAAGTACAATTTTTGTCACGATGACTTAGTATCTCAATGTCAATATATAACTATATATAATACAACTACAAAAGTATGTAATTTTAACTCATAATGTTGACCGTTTATCTCATATTTATGATTTTATCCTAATTATGATTGGCTAAAAAGGGCTGTCTGATATTACTAAACAAATCTTAATTGTCAAAAGTGACAAAAAGTCAAAATTATGAGATACAAAGTCATAATTATAACAGCCAAAATGATCACATAAATAGAAATTATGAGATAAGCCAGAGAGATCAAAAGTTGAAATTATGACTTATAAATATGATAGTCAAAAATGTCAAAATTATGAGATAAGTCATTATTGACACAAAAATGTCCAAATGATCATAAACCAGTGAAACAAAAAAGTCAATTCCAAAAAAAAAAGAAATTTTCAATTATGACTTTTTGTCAATTTTGACTGTCATGATGAATATCTCATAATTCCAACATTCTATCTCATAAGTATCACTTTTTACCTCATCATTTCAACTTCTTATCTTATAATTTGGACCTTTTATCTCATGTTTATGACTTTGTATCATAATTATGCTAAAAAGAGGCCATGTAATATTACTTCAAAAAGCTCCCTAACAAAAGCTGCCGACAGCTCTAAAATCCCAGAGCCAGACAGATGCAGCAGCATTCAGATCTACAGATCTCCTTACATCAGCAAACACACCATTCATGTGGTGCTTTAACTGCACAGCAAGAAGCATTTCCTCTGATTATCCGTTCCCTTTCTGTCCATTTTTATACAAACAACTATTAGTGGCGGCTGAGCTGGTGATGTAGCACACAAACAGGCCACATCACCAGAGAAACTCTGCGGTAGGTTGCGAGACAGATTTCTGACTTTCCAGACGGATCCTAAGCGTGTAATCCTCAGCGGTCTCATCTGGTTGTACTTCACAGGCTGTCAAGTGGGATCTTTGAAAAGCGTTGTTGCAACTTGTGGTTCACCACTCTGTTGCAGTATTGTATTGCAAGTTGAAGCTATAGCTTAAATTCGTCATCATTAGTGTCTCAGCTAGCAGAAATAAATTTGGGTTCACCAAATCCAGATCAAATGCTCAAAATGTTAATTTCTGAATTGGTGGTGGTGGATAAACATAATCTGAAAAACTGTAAATCAAATCCCGGTCAACTATTCATTACTGTTTGTCACATTCTCACATTGCCTCATTAAAATGACAAAATATTTGCATACTTTCTGATTCAGTCCAGTTCCTGACTGCCAGCTGACAGAAAGCCTTGTGTGACGTGTGTAAAAACTTGTATTATCTTTTAACACATTTGAGTATAATAAAACTGAAATTTAAGCATAAAAACATGATCTGATTTTAGCACTCAAGCAGCCATGACTTGTCTAAGAACATGACATGTAAAAAAATTAAAATTCAGTTAATTCAGTCCCATCTGTTGGATGAGAACAGATTCAGCAAATGCCACACAGCATACAAACCAAGGATATCTGAAATTATAATTCAACGGAAATAAACATCTTACTGACCACAAACTTTTGAATGTGTACAACAAAGCACATTGCATGTAATATATCCCACAATGCAGTGTACTCAAGTGGACCTTCCTTTTCTGTGACAAATAAACCGGAAATAAAGCTCATTTGAATCAAACTGCCAAAAATGAATATATTTTAACACAAAATTAAAATAATTCGATCAAATCATTTATTTATGTATATATGTACTGGACAGCACTCATATGCCACATGATCATGACAACCATGTAATGTAACATACTGCTGTTTGAGATTATTTATTTGTTGCATAATGCCTACAAGTTTGACTTACTATTAAAATTATAAATATATATATATATATATATATATATATATATAGTAATAATTCCATTCTGAACGGTCAGATTTTTTTCTCGGTTGAACGCTGCCCCTTGTATATTTATGACAACTTGTAAGAAATTTGAGCATTTGCTTGGAAAGAAAGTCTTCTGCTGCATTTGATGGTTCAATAACAACCTTTTTATTGCTTAAACTGCCATTTGGGTGATCTATACCAAAAAGATTATTTTCTGCGCAAAACTCACTGGAAATCAGACTACACATCTGGGTAACATTGACAAATAAAACGTGTTTGAAGGTGCAGCTCTATTCATGTTTATTCATCAGTCATTCTGCCCATTCACACAGACACAAGCGTCACTGCCGTGAAGATGGGTGTGTGTGAGATTCTGGCCCTATTATTTCAGGGGAAATGAACCTAATAAATGTGACGAAGATGCCAAGATAAAGCTGAAAGAATCTGAAAAACCTTTCTGTTGCACACCATTTTAATACGCATTTCTCAAAAACTAAAACAAGGAACAATGAGACTTGTTATCTAAATAAAGAGAATCAAACATTGATCGCTTTGGATTGTTTAACAGCAAAACAGAATATGGACATGTAAACATCAAATCACCAATGTTCATTTTAACTTAAAGAACTCCTTGTGGAGTTTTTATAAAAACGTATCAAAAGATATTGACGTCATTCATGATGTTGTAAGCAGAAAGAATTTCATTTTCTGCTTTATGACTGTTTTTGTGAGCCTCTGTTTTCAAACAGTACCACTAGAAACCAGAGACCTCGGCGTGGACGTTAAAACCTCCGTTTATAATCGTTTCAGTCTTTTATTTCGACATTAAAACTGCTACAAGCCAGTTTAAAGGAATAGTTCTCCCAAAAATTTGCTGAAAATGTATTCACCCTCAGGCCATTCAAGATGTAGATGAGTTCGTTTCTTCATCAGATTTGGAGAAATGTAGCATTGCATCAGTGTCTCAGCAATGGATGCTCTGCAGTGAATGGGTGCCGTCAGAATGAGAGTCCAAACAGCTGATAAAAACATCACAATAATCCACAAGTAATCCACACCACTCCAGTCCATCACTTAACATCTTGAGAAGCCAAAAGCTGCGGGTTTGTAAGAAACAAATAGACTCTCATTCTGACGGCACCCATTCACTGCAGAGGATCCTTTGGTGAGCAAGTGATGCAATGCTACATTTCTCCAAATCTGATGAAGAAACAAAATCATCCACATCTTGTCTGACCTGAGAATGAGTAAATTTTCAGAAAAAAATTCATTTTTGGGTGCACTATTCCTTAAAAAAATAGCCACAGAAACACTTGAAATTATGACATGCGACTAAATATGCCACTGTGCACCGTTGTGGAAAAATAAGCTTATTAAAAAATAAAACTGGTATTTCTCGGCATATACTGACAAAAAGGTAAATACTGAAACATTCGGACTGAAAGCTCATTCGGTGACGGCGCACATGCGGGAACACACAAATACAATTTTTATCACGCTGTCAAATATCTGTCACGCTCACCTCTAGAAGCTAAATTCAAGTCAAGACGTGAGGCTCTGTCCAACGTTTGGCACTGGCATCGTAACAGAACAGAAACTACTATGGGTTTGAGGAGATATCAGCTTAAAAATCAGTTTTAAAAATCAGTCAGCCAGTTTCTCTTACAATAAACCCTAAACGTTTAGATACTGCACAGGAACGGCCTCACTAGTTACTACAGTAAGCAACTGAAACACAAATAGTGAGAGTGTGTGCTGGAATGATGAGAAGAAATAAAACCGCATGTATGTTCATGTTCCTGACTGCTTTTTCTCCGTGTAGCTTTGATAGAGGAGGGAAATGAGGCAGTAAGACTTAACGAATATAATCAGTACAGCCAAACATCACTCGTCTGTCTTACTCTGTTACATATGTAGTCAGTTCACCTTATAAAACTAGGAATTTAAAACGGTTTTAGAATAACTCTACTATAAATATATTTATGTTGTTTTCATTTACTGCTTGGAATTAAAGGTAAAAACACTGCAGAGTAAAGGCTGTGATTTGATTGGAGGAACGTACGTTTGATTGTCTGGCCTTTCATTTGGCTCTGAATGTCCGACGATGAAAGCGGCTGCTAAAGCTCTCGCCTGACGTGACAGTCACATGGGAAGCACTTAATGAAGCAGTAATGAGCCTGGGAACGCTTAAATGAGAAGCTAAATGGTGAGGTGGACCCTGCGGTATAGGTTTTTAGGGGAGGGGCGTCTCAGACGGAGAGCGACACGAAGCTGTTGTACTGTTGGATGTTGCGTTTGAGGATGTCTGAACATGGTCCCAGCACACGCTCGAAACGCGGCCTGTCCAGCTTGACGCATTTGAGCGGCCCGCGCGCCACCACGGTAGCTGCACGGGGTCGGTTCATCAGCAGAGCGATCTCGCCTAGTGAGAGCAAAGAAACACAAAGATTTTATTTTTATACTTAATTAACTGCACTAATTAAGTATAATAATTACTTAAAAAAAAGAGAATTGCAAATTCTTGGTCTAACAATTCTGCGAGATATAAACAGTCAGAATTGTGAAATATAAACTCACAATTTTAGTAGTCACATTTTTATTTTATTTTTCTATGGTGAAAACAAAAAACTGAATTGCAAAATTCAGTGAACTCAAAAAAAAAAAAAAAAAAAAGGAAGATTTTACCTATTTTAGTTTTTTTCCTAAGAGATATGGCTAAGCAGGTGTCACTTGTGGGTGA